TTGAAACTATAGGTATATATATATATATATATTGAAATGCCCGAGTGCTAATATTATTGAAATTGAAAAGGTACATAAGGTTGTATGAGTACCCAATAAAGGCGCCCTACCTATACGATACACAGACACTAACATTCTAAAAAAGATAACACATAGATAAAACTCTAAAATTCATAACTCGCAGAAAAACAGTTGCTATGGACGAGCCAGCTTGGTCCTGCCTCTACCTCTGGTTTTAGGAACGGAGCCAACTAACAAATTGCTGAGTGTCGTGCCATTACCCGAAGTTACTAAAGTAGTTACTAATCATCCATTAAGTTCCCAAGCTGGGGTGTGCCTCCATTCTTCTTTTTCTTCTTAGATGTGTATACCTGCCATTCCTCATCTAAAGACTAGCTCATCTGATCAGTGTGATCAACAGATTGTTGGACATGTAGAAGAGGATGAACCCCTAGCTCCTGATTAACAGTAATAACATTCTCATTCTGAAGAGATGGTAAATCTGTCTTCTCAGCACCTGATGCTTCCTGAGGTTATGGAGCTGCGATACTATCCTGATTATCGGACCGAAGAATATCTTTTGGAGGTAAGGATCTTGCAGTATTGTTTTCAACAGTGATAGAGACTGTCAGATGCCCAAGTGAACCATCTGCCAATACATCAGTCGGAAGAACAAAAACAATATTGTCTCTGGTAGTGGGAGGGAGAGGTGGCATCGTGTCAACCGGTGTTTCAAAAGTCTGTGGAATGCACTCGGGGGCGGAAGAGGGACAAGTATGAAGTGGGGCAGATCCAGTAGCATTTTTACTGTGAGGTTTTAGATTTGGATGCAAATGATAACATTGAGAAAGAGAGTTTCCAAACATCCAGCAGTGGGTGCAATAAAGAGGTATCTGTTCAAGTTCTGCTTGCTGCCAAAATCCCTGATGCTGTGTGTCAATCCATATCTTTCCCGGAAAAGGTAAAGTAATATCCCGTTCTATCAAAATTCAGTCTTCAGAAGACCAAGTCAGATTCATTGTAGGCATATCAGTTTTGAGAGGTTTACCGTATACCATCGCTAAAGCGAAGAATATATATATATATCAACGTTAGGGTCAGTTT